TCTGTGGTGATTACTAGCCTGTCTGGTTCCTTGAATTGGAGCCCCTTCCAGAGGGACGGGGAGAGCCACCAACTGAGGGACCGCCGGGCCTGTTGAGAGAGCAGGACCTTGATTGACGAGTGGCTGGTTCCTGCTCGTTGAAAGGGGAGCAGGAACCATTGGAGCAATTGGGAGTGAAGCCGTGCCCACGGGACGATGCCAATACAGGAGACCATCTTCCCCGGTAGTTTGGACAGCAGCGACAGTGGAACAGTCTGTTGTTGTTGAATCTGGCTGATGATCTCTGCAAGGCTTTTTCCACGATCTGGAGACAGGGAAACCTGGCACAGTCATGACGATGACTGCTCCCAAGTGTAGCAATTTGGTCGTGGGTGAGAGATGGCTCTTCTTGGTGTTGGTGGCTTTGGAGGCAAGACAGGGTAATTTTTAAGTCCGGATGGGCCGAGTGGATGGAGGAGGACAGTATCAACATGTCATCCAAGTAGCATTGGATCCTCACTGGAACAGAACGGAGTGAAGCCAACAATGCTGCTAGAATCTTTGTGAAGACCCTTGGAGCCGATGAGAGGCCAAAGGGAAGGGCTTGATACTGAAAGTGGGCATTCTGGTAACAGAAACGGAGAAACTGGAGATGATGAGGCCAGATGGGGATGTGGAGGTAAGCCTCCGTGAGACCAATGGAAGAGAGGAGGTCGCCCCCCCGAACGCTCTCTAAGATAGAATGCAGTGTCTGCATTTTAAATCACCTGTGTTTGACAAATTGATTGAGAAATTTTAGGTCAAGGATGGCTCGCCACCCCTCCGAGGCTTTGGGAACAACAAAAAGACGAGAGTAAAATCCACGTCCCCATTGTAAGGTGGGAACTGGTTGAATAGCCCTTATGTCGAGTAGGTATTGAATGGCCAAATTCATAAGGGCTCTCTTTGAAGTGTCCTGTGAAATGGGACAAATCAAAAAAATTTCTGGGGGTGACGATAGAAATTCCAATTGTAGCCCTGACCTAACAGTGTTGAGCACCCAGGCATCCATCGTTGACTCCTCCCATTTGGAGACAAAGAAGGCTAAGCGACCTCTGATGGGTGGGGAGAACGAGGTATTACTTAGAGCAACGGAAGGCACGACCCCCTCCCTCCCGAAAGGGCCATTTACTAGCAGAAGGTTGTTGTCTGCCAGGTGGTTCTTGACGTTGGTCTTGGCGCTGAAAATATGCCCTCTGTGGACGAGGAAACGGGAGGTGGACTCCGCCTGAAAGGCAGGTGGCTGATAAGGAGCTGGACGATAGTCAGCTTTTTTCCCTGAGGAGGAAAGAATTTTACGTTTATCTCTGGTCTCGATGAGATACCACTCTAGACCCTCACCGAAAAGCTTGTCTCCTGCGCAGGGGGCAGAGGCCAGCTTCCATTTGTGGCGTGACTCTGCCTGCCAATTTCAGAGCCCCAGAAGCCTTCTTGCAGCCACCGAAGATTCCATGGCCCTTGATGCAGATTTAGCAGAATTGAGGGTGGCATCTGCAGTGAATTCCGCCGTTGCTATAATTTTGTTAAGGTCCTGATGAGACCTGAGGTCAGAGGCAGGCAATCGATTCTGCAGTTGGTGCAGCCATCATAGAGATGCCCTCGTGAAAAACGATGCAGCAGTCAAAGCCCGAACAGCCCACGCAACTGCTTGGTGGTTGCGCTTGAGGGTCTGTTCGGAACGCTTGTCCTCTGGTTTAAGGACATCCTCTGGCTTGGTGGGCGTGACAGAAGAGGAGAATGATGCCACAACTGGAGTGTCTACTGAGGGCACTGCAAGGGCATTGGCTAGGGATGTGCTAACATTGTAGAACCGCTTGTCCAAAGATGATGGATGAGGACCTGCCGAAGGGGAAGCGCACTGTTCCTTGACCATGTCGAGAAGCAAAAGGGGAGAAGGCAAAACCTCCGTGTGTACTACTGGCTTGGAGAAGAACGAGTCTCCTTGCCTGGAGGGTTCCCTTGTGGTTCAGGTACTGCTTCCTCAGGTGACAGCTTGGCAGTGACCAGGGCCTTGCTAAATAGGGGTTTAAAGAGGGCTGGTTTAAAGACTAATGCAGAGGAGGGCTGATCTGGACGAGAGTCTTCTTCCTCTGAAAGACTGCGATCACAGATTTTGCCCTCTTCGTGCTCTGAACGAGAGGAGCAACTGTGTTCAGATGGGGAGGCACCCTCTTCCCCTTCATACTCCTCCCATTCTGCCTGTGATGAATGGACTCTGGGGTCTTGGGGTCTGTGGAAATTTCGTTGTGGAGGTAAGGAAGCCATAGACTGAGAAGGGATAAGGGCCTGAACCCTTTCCAGAGGCCGAAGAATCTGTTGAAAACCTTCAGCCAATCCCTGCCTAATGGCTAAGAAAACAACATCTTGGATCTCCCTGGGCCTGTTATTAAAGGTAGTGGAGGGCCGAAGGCCAGCTGCAGTGGGCTTCGTGAAGGTGGCTTCCGGCCTGATTTGGGAGGCCTGAGCTCTGGAGGGAAGAGAGGGGTCATAGGGCCCAGATGTTTGCTGGAAATATGGCCCAGACCTGCTGAGAACCTGAGGTTGTTCCTCAAATGCCTCAGGGGACCAGACTGGGGGGGGGGGGGTGTCCAAAGGCTCCATGAACTACTTCCCCTCCCCTGGGGGGATTCCTCTGGAAACCCTGATGTTCGGCTGGCTGGGAAACCTGTTGCAGTTGCCCTCTCATTTGTTGAATAGTCTTGTTAAATTGTGTCTCTAGAGCTGCATGTCTGCGTTTCTCTTGCCTTCAACTCAGCCTGAGTTGTCTTCTTAGGGGCTAGAGCCTTAGCTCTGATTTTTGCAGCCACTTCCCTCTGAGCAGTACGTTGTCTGCGTCTTTTCCTTTTAGTGGGTTGGAGGGCCTGTTCCACTGGGGGGGGAAAGCTCTGCATGAGCACTGTCCTGATCCATTTTAAATAAGCAAGGCTCAAGCGTTGAGAGAATGGCTCTCAAAAGTGCTTAAGGATGGTAGAGGGTGGAATTGGGTCTTTGGAGCCCTGAAAATGGCTTCCAGGCCACTTAAAATGGCTGCTCACCTTGTGTCTGAAGAGACTGCACTCAAAGATGGCCACTGCTCGTTGATGGCTCCGAGAAGTGAATTTCACTCCTTAGGCTATTGCAAGCCCCGAACGATCAGATCAGCCAGAGAAGGAAGAGATGCCTCCCACGCGATCAGCTGGCTGGCTCTGTTATCAGTTTGCTGATCAGTTTTACGATTGGACAAACTGCGGCTATGGGGAAGGTCTCAGACGCTTCTCTGCTTGCCTAGCAGCGCTTGGGAAAATGTTTATCCCAACGTTGCAGGAGAACGGAGCCCCGCTCTCCTGAAGTTGCAGCTGCCCAGATCCCCGGGAGCTGATTGAAGCAAGGGTAGCTTCTGTAGAAATTCACTGAATAAAATGCTAACGCTTTCGGAGACACAGCTTGTGACTTAAAGAAGCTGAGTCAAAGCTGGGGGGCTTCTCCCGGGGGCTGGCTTTTTATATATAAAAGTACAGCCGCAGCTTAATGACGTCATAAGAAGGAGTCTACCCATCCTGGGCTCTTGCTGCAGCATGGAGGAGAACACTGGAGGATATTAGCACATCCTGTTCCTGGGGTTTTCATATGACTAGACTGAATGCTTTTCAGCAAAATGGTTGATATTTTTTTCATTGCCACGTCCATCTTCTCTAGACCATCTTTATCTTTTTTAAAAAAAAAAAAATTGCCCAGCCAATTGTTTGTCTACATTGTCTTGTCCTTCTTTTATTAGTTTTGCTTTTCAGCTGCCCCATCTACAAGCGTTGTTTTTTTTTTTTAAATCAGCAGTCTTAATTTATTTTACACTACTGGCTGGTTTTCTCCAGCTCTCATCTTGATTAAATGCCTTTTTCACATAACCTGTGTTTCTCAGTGAGATTCAGGGACGTAATTATCAAAATCTTTTCCAAATCTCCTTGCTGCTATTCATTCTTCTGGTGAGGGCAGAAGCATATATATTAAGACCCATATTGTTCCTTCCTATAATAAATGGTGTGAATTGAGAATCTATTACATCTACGTTCAAACGACCTTTTGATTACATTGATCACAAGATACCCATCATGTGATCACCTTCATCCTTACAGGGACTCTTCAAATAATGGTAGCCAAATGTTATTCCATACGGTGTCTCGTGGTTGTGTACACGGAGCATGACATAATACCTGTATCTTTCGGAGAGCTTAAGAGAAGAAGGGCTGCATATAGCATTCTGATTATGTTTCCAACAATGTTTTCTCTCTTGTTCATTCCATTACTTGCAATAGGTAATTTCAAAGGATTTTTGCTTCCTAATCTCTGTACTGATATATGAGGATAGATAGACAGACAGACAGACAGACAGACAGACAGACAGACAGATAGATATGGCATCTGAAACATTCCATTTTTCAAGGGGATAGTTTGGCAATATTTTGGAATATAAAATGTATCATGGTGTCTTAGATGAGCTTCTGTATTACAGTGGCATTTCTCAATTTGTTCTGTAGTAGTCTGAAAGCTGAATTATTGCTCCTCTCTCTTTTTCATGTCTTCATGAATTTAACCACAACCTGCATGTGGGGAAACCTTAAGTGTTCATATAGATGTAACAGAAAACTAGAGAATATATCTTTCACCTGCATACCTGCTTTCAGTTTTATGTGGAAGCTACCAATATCATACAAGGAGATGGTTTTGTGGAACCAGGTGTCTATTTTATCCTTTTTCCTATAATGTGGGGATGGTAGCAAGGTTCGGTGATAAGGTTATAGAAAGGGGGGTGCCAGTGAACTCATCCCCCACTCTACTGATAGAACTACATAGCAATATACCATTAATTTTTCTTAGGGAAAAAAAACCCTGTACATTCAGTGGAGGATACTTTTTGTTTTGATTAAGGATGGAAAATCTTGTTTCACTTCTTCCAAAAAACTGTTTGATGAAATATAGTCTTTGTTCAAGTAATACTGTATTCTTACCTCCAATGACTGCAATATCTGTGCTTGTCGGAGAGCTTCCAATATTTGCACCTAGAAATAAAATACACAAAATTTAATTAGACAGGAGATTTCAAGTAATAAAATAATCACAGCTACTCCATACAGAATAGAGCAAGGATTTCTTTTACCCCTTCCTTTCAGGTTTTCCTGTGAATCTAAGAATGCGAAAGATTGGAATGGCGAAGAGCAGGGTTTAAAAAAAAACCTTATTAAAAACATTGAAGTTGTACAATATTATACCACATGGAGAGGGGAAAAATACTGCTATATTGACGCAGTAATTCTGCAACCCAAGAAAACATTTATTAAACAATTGCTTTGCAACTCAAGAAAACTCCTATGAAATATTAGAAAACTTTGCAGGAAAAAAATGTGGATGCAATTATGAATTTGAATCTGAAAAGAACTGAACAGTGACAGGATTTTAATACCATGATTTCCCTGATAATTTTAGTTTTTGGCATTTTGACCCACCCCATTATAATTTTGGAGGGCTGAAACACATGGTGGGGACATGATATATAGCCCTTGGTCTCTGCGTTGCTGACCTATGATTTATAGTATCTATAGATTCAATACACTAAATGGAAGAAGGAGCTTGTCTGGGAAAGAAAGCAAGCCCCACACACCAAATTCTTGAAGGCATTTCTAACAACAATCAACCTGCAAACTTTATTTCTCACATAGTGACAGCATGACAGGAATGTTGAGTACAGAGAATAGAGGCAGTTTCCACAAAACACAATTCCTGAAGGGCTATGAGGACTGGCAAGAATATGGCTATGAGGACTGGCATAAGCGCACCAACGTGCCTACCTTCTCTGTCCTATTGTTTCTTTCATTTCTTTTATTTTTCTTATATGTATCCATGTATTAATAACTACATTTTTACTTATACCTCTATTATCTTGTAAGCAATTGACAAACCAAATAAATAAATAAAGAAGGAAGTGGCAGTGAAAGTAGGGTTGAATGGGAGTGCATTCAACATTCCCCTGTGCATACTTCTAGGCACTTAGAGTGAGGGGGAAACTTCTGAATTGGGCTATGTTAAGGAAACCTCTTGAGACTTTTCCTTCACCACAGCTTTCCAATTCCCTATTCATGTTTTGTTTATTAGCAGAGCACTCAAACTTCTGAGTTCCCCTTAGTTTGAAATGAAACCCTCCAACTGCAGATAAGCCATCTGCAATTGAACAATCCTCCCTCAATTGATTGTGGAAAAGCAGTGAAGATGCATATCTGGGTCATTTGATGTAAGCAGCTCCAGAGGCTCTGCTTCTTTCTTTGTCTTCATTTTACACCAGAGGAGCATTTGGCTCTCAGAACCCCAATTACACTCTCTACTGGATTATAATAATGCCAGAGTAGATAATTTCACAATTTTCAAAGTATATGAAAAATCCAACTATGGCCCTTTTTAAGAATCTGTGATAAGAAATTGGTTTAAGAGAGTTATTAGTGCCTAAAAAAAAACTTAACCATGAGATCTCAACCTTAATTATAGTTTTCATGGGGAAGGGGAAACCCAAGCTAATAAAAAGCAAAAAAGCCTTTGCAGCAAAGGAAGGGAGAAAATTTCAGACAATCCCCTTTTTCTTTCCTATCTCACATAGTAATAGGATACTTAATGCATCAGTAAATTGAGAGACTTTCATTCCCTTAGACCTCCCTTTTCTTTTTGCTGTGATAGCCTCAATTAAAATTCCTTTACTTGAAGAAAACTGTATTTGAAAAATGGGATCACTGCCATGGTTGCAACTAGAACTACAGATAGCTACATTTTGATGAAAGCTTCTTGATTCCTGTGCAACAGGGGGAAACAATCTGATAGGGCCAGTGGCCTCTCATTGGCGCACTCACAAAAGACTGTCATTGGGGGTCACTGTTCTAAAACAGATGTCATGGTGAGTGTGGCCAGTCACAAAATGTCCATTTATTAGAAAGCTAACTTTCTGGAGAGATTGATATTGATACTGGAGAGGAGGGGAAAAAGCAAACTGAAGTATTAATCTTTAGATTTTCTTGTAATTCTGTCTGAATAGAAAGTCAGTTTCTGTCTAAAGGTTAAGGTGTTGGCCTAGAAACCAGGAGATTGTGAGTTCTAATCCCACCTTAGTCCTGAAAGCCAGCTAGGTGACTTTGAGCCAGTCACTCTCTCTCAACCCAACCCACCTCATGGGGCTATTGTTATGGTGAAAAAAAAGGAGGAAGGAGTATTTAAGTAGGTTCACTGCCTACTTGAGTTATTTATAAAAATAATAAAGGCAGAATATACATAAAAACATTAAATAAATAAAGCGGCTATTTCTTCTGCAGTTGTTGGTGTCCCTTTTAAAAATTGTATTTATTGTTCACATTTTTGAACTGTTCATCTCCCTCAAAGAGAGACTCTTTTTCTCCTATTATTCTGTTCTGATTAACACGGGAAGCAGTTTCCTAATTGGTAGTTGCCTAAAGGACTAAATCCAACAAGTGGAAATGACAGACAGGTAGTTTTCTGCTAAAAGCTTCTTATGAGCTATTAGAAAACGGAATAGATAAACTTAAATTATGGACTGATGGGTTCTACTATTGGAGAGCTAAATTGGCTGCTTTATGAGAGATGAAAAGGAGTGCAGGAAGATGATTTTTCTGAGAATTACAGCAGAACACTTCAGTGGTGGGATTCAAATTTTTTTACTACCGGTTCTGTGGGCATGGCTTGGTGGGTGTGGCAGGGGAAGGACACTGTAAAATCTCCATTTCCTCCCCACTCCTGGGGGAAGGTTATTGCAAAATCCCATTCCCTCCCCACCCCATTAACCTACTTTTCAGCTCTGTTCTCCTGTGTAGGGCAACAAAAGAAGACCCAGCTAATTAGTTGGGACTTGGGAGGCAGATGGGGGTGGGGACAGTCAGAGGTGGTATTTGCTGGTTCTCCAAACTACTCAAAATTTCCACTACCGGTTCTCCAGAACTGGTCAGAACCTGCTGAATACCACCTCTGGAACACTTTCTTCTCTCTCTCTTCTAAGTAGAGGTCGGTGTTTATATCAAATGTGTCCATGTAAAAACATGCATGGAATTTGGCCTACCAATTATGCTTTGCATGTAGTACCAGAACAGAAGGTTTGTTTTCCAACTACTGACTTGTTTCGTGTAACAAACGGCCACCTTTTTATCCAACCCATTGATCGCTTAGATTTTGAATTCTGGCAACATAGCTACCTTTACAATAACAGCTCCCAATCTACACAACAAAAACAGGAGGGTGGGAAGCAAAACAAGACATCCCTGTGTCTTAAAGTAAATGTAGCATGTCTGTATTTGGAAAATGTTAAGTTTAAGTGATAAAATACATTTCTTACACTGTTGCAACCTACTTTCTCTTTTTTGTATGCTTTTATTCTTTCAATACCTGACCTTCATTAGAAAACACTAATTTAATTCCATTGTTCAGTTTTAATTCTCAAACTATACACTCATAGTGCCAAAGAAATTACCAAGGACCACTTCTCCCTATTACATTCCTGGAGCATAGCAAAGATGTTTTGAATGAAGAGGTGAAAACATACTTCACAAACATAATGACCATAAGATATTTGGTTTGTGATGCTAGAAGACATAATTGGCTGCACAGTTGCATACTCAATGGCAAACATAGATTGGACTTGGCATCTTGTGTGAAATGACCTAAGGGAAGTTTATTTAGAGGAGAAAGCCTGCAAATGCTCTATTAGACATTTATGCAATATTTCCACCCAATATTACAGATATTTGTTGAAACTGCCTGTTAAGCTCAGTAGGTTAACCCTTCATTAATTACTTGTTTGAATACTTGTACTGAATTTGATCCCCAAATTAATAATTGGAGCAACATCAGCAACTTCACAATTCTCCTAGAAGAACCCATTGCCTTAGCGATTCCGAAACTAATACTTGACAATAGTCCAGGATTACAAACATTTGCTTAACAATGGTTTGAGTTACCAATCATCTGGAAGGGGGGGAGGAACACACTTACAATCTAAATTTGAACTTATAACTATTACATTATCTCAAGTCACATGATCACAATACAGATGTCTGGCAACCAGTTTGCATTTATGGCTGGTTGCGTCATGTCACAGTCATGATTTGGAATGTTTTTTGCCTGTTTTTGGCAAAAAAATGCTATTTGGGGAAGTGGGATTCAATCCTGCAACCGTGTGAGTTGAATCATGGCTGAGGTAAAAGTGGTCATTATAATGAGGTCTGGTCACATGTTGATTGGAAATTTGGATCCCAACTGCGGCCATAAGTTGAGGATTACCTGTACGGTTGTTTAAAAAAACAACTTATCTATCAGTTGGCATAGTAGACAGAACAATACGGTGTTCATATGTATGCCAAATAATAGGAATAATTATAATTATTACAATTATTATGATAATGAGAAGTTTAGAGGGGGCAACTGAACCACACCAATAGGTGACTTTAAATGTATTTTCTTAAAAAGATGAAATTAAAGGGGATGAGGAAAAAGCTGTGAAATATCCTAGCTGCCCTATAATCAAAACATTAAAGGCCTGGCATTCCTCATTTAGATTAGATCTCAAATTGCATTCAGATGCAAATATTTAATTGCATTTGTACCTAGTGAAATTATAGATTCTGGATATTTGTGGACTGTTTCTCCACAAAAGCAACACAGTTAAAACTGTGAGAAGTTTGATGAATTAAATTCATTATGTTAATGTACTCCCTATAATCTGAGCAACCCACCTTTGGCATTAAAATACTTTGAAATTGCCCCGGGTTTATTCCTGCTGCCTACAATACAACAATGGGTTTGTCTAAAAATAAAAGAGGTTAATTAACCTAGGGATTAAGAGTTTTCTTAATGCATTCTAAAATCAAAGAAAAAACAACTGCAATGGTACCATTATCCATGCCATACCATTACTTACTGATCCAAGTGAGAGGATGCAATTTGGTATATAGTTCAAGAGCACAGATGCTTTTTTGTTTAGATGACAATATGGAAAAATATTGAGGTCAGGAAAACA